GTAATGTTTTATGGTCATTTTCTAAATTTGATGAACACAATACATCAAAATTTGGTCTCCAAGTACCTATAGGGATTTAATTTTCTCTTTCTTCATCTGCAAGATGCAAGCGTTAAATTCTTCTAGCGATAAATTGAAAAGCATCTAAAAGAAGTTCAAAAAAAATTGTGAGGATAACAAGAAATCAGAATTCTCAAGAAGAAGTTTTAGAAAAAGATTTTGGTTCGTGAATTAGTATATGAAGACAAAGAAAAACATCATGATTTTAAAGAATGACTAATTTCAATGACATGTTCGAGAAAAAAAACATAAAAACATGTTAATGCTCTTGAAAAGAATAAGAAGAAGCAAGGTTTGGTTTGTGATCCGGAGCAACAATAAATCCAAGGTTGTTTGTTTTTCTTATGAGTCTCTGGTTCCATTTTTTGTTTTCTTAAGATCATAAGTTTAATGGTGATAATGTCGTTGTAGATTGTATTAAAAAAATTATGATGATGGTGATGAGTAGAGATTGTTCAAGGTGAGGAGAAAATTAATAAGAGCAGTGGGGAAAAAACTGTGGTGGAGATTGAGATGCAAGTAAAACAAGTAATGATGAATCTTGAAACTAAAAAAGGTGAAAACCCGCCATTACAAGCTTATGAAGTTTCATCTTCTCAATGAAATTTTCTAAAGGTAAAGAAGATTCACACAACTGTTAGTTTTTTAATTAGTGATTAAAAACCTTTTTTTGTTTGTCTTTATATGATCTATGAGTTTTTTTATTTAGCAAGAAATATCTTCAACCTGAATTCTTAGATCATTAAAGGCCATAACCATTTGAAACCAAACGACGGCATGCTCGATACTTCTGCTGGAAAAAAAAAAAAAAGATACTCACTTTATAACGACTTTCAGTGGTTTTTTTTATATGTTTTGGATCATGATGTTTCAAATTATTCTTAACTTCATATGCTATTATTTTTTAATTTATTTTTATTATATGCTATTTCATGAAGTGTTTATATTAAGAAGTATTACTCGGCTCTTCGACATAATAAACCTCTCCTCAAAAGACCATATAAAGTAGTTCAAGCAATAACAAAATAAAAATAAAGAAATTTCGAAAAAAATGGTGAATAAAATTATATAATAAAGGTTCGAGAGATATGTTATTTAAACTGATTTTTTGTTGCTATGCATAAGCGTAATTCATATTCTAAATATTACACTTTGGATCACTATATCGATATATCAATTGTTTAATCTCTTTTATAACCACATATGTTTTAATTTTTTTGCTATAAGTTATTTGAAAAATATAATATAATATGTTAATTCACTAAATTTTAGAAATTATTTGAAAGCAAAATTGCTAATGTGGACACAATTTGTATCATTTGCTATTTTTTTATTTTATGCATATTATTCATATTTTTTAGTTAAGAAAACTTATATTTTAGAAAAAAAATTTATAAAACATTTACGGCCGCGTTTGGTGCAAACCAACCAACTAGTATAATGTGAAAAATATTGAAGTAAACAAATGTAAAAAACGATTAAACTATTGTAGATTACTATAATAGAACATGAATATTTGAAAAAAGACATTGTATAAATTTAATAGTTTTAGTCATCGTATTCTAAACTAAATCTAAAATACGAATAATTTATAGATATTATGACATAGAAATATTTCGTTGGTCGTGTTGTCTAACATTATATCTTTTTGATTAGCAAAATTATTTTCTCTTAATTTGTACTAGATGACTGACTCGCACCATGTGCGGGTATAAACACGATTCTCATATATGTTAAATTTT